AAACCCAATGAGAGCATCGTCTGGTAGTATCCCTGTTTCCTCAGGTACCCCCTTGAAATGATGCCTGTTTGTGACCGTATCCTTCCCAGTGAGCTCACCATCCTTCCAGGCACCTCACTGCCGGACTTCGGGTCGAGCATCTGTCGCCATTCCTCTCCGTCCAGTGTTGCAATCTCACAACGCTCAGAAAACTGAAAATCGTACCCCTTCGCTGGCTTTCCTTGGCTACTGGCCTTGGAAACTGTGCTGCGGTCCATGCCAAGCTGCTTTGCCGCATCTGTGATTGAGGGAGAGGTCGTCCAAATCTGGGACCCCACAGCTCTCCACATCACAGGCAGTGAACAACAAGGTCCTCCATTGCCTCTCGGTTTTGCAAAGGATTCCTTCATGTTCTGGCTTTGCGTCACGTATTCCAAGTTCTCGACCCGATTGTTGGATGGAGTACCATCCCGGTGGTGAACTTGCCACGTGTCGTCTGCTGGTGGAGGCCCCAGGAAAGCGAAAGCCACCAAGCGATGGACATAAAAGTCATTGCCCAGCACGTTGACTCTGTAGTAGCCTGATCCCTGTAGATGTCCGTTTGAGACCCGTCCCTTTGTGTTGCACACTCGCCCGTGGGAGCTGACTTGCCATTGCTTCCTCTTTTCAACCTCTGGACCTTGGAGTGCCTTAGTGGCCAACAACCTCAGGCCAGCGAAGGCTCCAACAAGTCTGGTGCAGGTGCACCTGCGCCATAGCGCTTTTGAAGCACTGGCCATGGCACCCACACTATGGTTCTGCAAGGAATTCAGAACAAAGCATTTCTTGCTGAGGATATTTCATCACTGGCATGACTTTAGAGAACGCTGCCGAAAGGCTTGGCCCCATATACGGCGCTTGTCAAAACGATGCAGGTCTAACATGGGAATATTCCCCAAGAACCCGCTGTGGGCCCTTTGGATGCTCAGTCAGATGCTTCGGAAAGAGGAGGAGGACTGAATTGACTGACTCTCGCTAACAGGAACCATCTGTTGCGACCTTGATGCGCCTTATTTAACAATCCAACTCCTCACTGCCAGCAACATATGCATGAAACTGTTAAGGTTGACACATGCAAGTCCCAGTGCTTGAGTTCTGATTATATCCCACCAAAACCATCCAGGACCCCACCCCAGAAAAGAGTCCTTTATATCATGCCTAAATGTTGCTGCAAGCACCTTAACTCATCTTGTACATAATTAGTTGGCCTTTATCAGACCTAGAACAACAAAAATCTTGAGTTGTTGCCCATGCACTGGTTCCTGTCCTTCCTCTTTTCAAGATCTCCCTATCAGAAAAAGTCACTTGCTGACAGTGTCCCGTTGCAGTCAAACATCAAATCAAAAGAAACAAAAGCCTATATGATTTACAATTGAGAAGGGTACCGCACTGTCCCACTGCTCCATGTTTCGCACCAAGTGCTTGACTGGGGCGTTCCACCTTCACAGACCGACTCCTTAGCACCTTTTTGTCTGGAGGCTCGTTCCCGCAGAAGAGCGCCGATGACTTTACAATCAACCGGGCGCCACTCTTCGCCAGCCTGAAGCTGGCTTTCAGCCGTGCTGCCTCGTCGGAACTCAAATCCACCAGTCTGTTTGAGGCGACCTGTCAAACAACGGGAGACACTGTGGCGATTCACCTCAAGAGCATCTGAAGCACCCTTGATAGACAAATGCATTCTCCATTCATCCATGCTGCCCACAAGTCTGCTTTCAGTTGGTTTCCCATGTGGCCTGTGGCGCCTCTCCCTGGTAGCCAGGCAGTGTATCACATTTTCGGCGTTTGTGACATACTCCAAGTTCTCAACTGCATTGTTTCCTTTGTCAAGGTCCTTGTGGTTAACATATCGCCGCTGCTGGCTCGCAGGTGGTCCCCAAAAAGACAACAGGACTAGACGATGAACATATTCAGTACGCCGTTCACAGCCTAATGTGAGGGTGGTCACGTAGTAGCCTTGCCGGGTACGGCACCCCCTTGAAATGATGCCTGTTTGTGACCGTATCCTTCCCAGTGAGCTCACCATCCTTCCCGGCACTTCGCTACCGGACATTGGGTCGAGCATCTGTCGCCATTCCTCTCCGTCCAGTGTTGCAATCTCACAACGCTCAGAAAACTGAAAATCGCACCCCTTCGCTGGCTTTCCATGTCTACAGGCCTTGGAAACTGTGCCGCGGTCCATGCCAAGCTGCTTTGCTGCATCTGTGATTGAGGGTGAGGTCGTCCAAATTTGGGACCCCACTGCTCTCCACATCACAGGCACTGATTTGCCAAGACCACTACTGCACGTTGAAGCACCTGCAAAAAATTCCAACATGTTCTGGCGTGGCGTCACGTATCTCAGATTCTCAAGTCGGTTATTGGAACCGTCACCATCTTGGTGGTGCACCTGCCACACATCATTGGTTGGCGGAGGTCCCAAAAAAGCAAAGGCCACCACGCGATGCACAAAAAAAACTGTTCCCACATATTTCCACCTTGTAGTAGCCACAAGCTTTCAAGGATCCGCGTGAGACTACTCCTCTGGTGTTGCAAACGCGGCCATGAGAGCTCACCTGCCATTGTTTGTGAAGACCTGGAAGGGATTGGCTGGCCAACAGCCGCAAACCTGTGAGAGCTTCTGTGGCCAACAGCCGCACTCCAGAAGTTCTCAGGCCCAAACACCGACGCCAAATCAAGATTGACACAGCAACCATGAACTCTTTACTGCCAAGTAATGGCCGAAGTGCTCTTGGAAACAAACTCTGCTTGAAGCCAAAGGCCAATGAATACAAACCCATTTGTCTTTGCGCCTCAAACATGCACGGATCCAGGTCCAAGGGTTCATGCCACTACCGTTGTAGTGTTTTGTGGTTTATGGACCTCAAATTTGCTGCTCATCCGCTCCTGAACGGTGCATAGAACTTTGAAGCAAAGGTCAACCCAACTGAGATCTGCATTGAGTGCGATATGTTCTTCAGCATGATTGTCCGAAAGTTGCCAAAAACAGAAGCATGCCCTATCTAAAATGTTATCGCACAATCCAACGTATGACAAAAGACTCAGCATCTTCACTGCATCCATCATTCCCAATGGATCCGAACGTCCCTACTGGTTGTTCATGCTTAGGGGATTGGTATTTCCTCCACTTGAAACAGCTGTTGAAGAAAAGTCTCCTGCACACCACCAACATAACACCCCGTAGTCCCCGTAGATAGTGGCTATCCTGTATGTGGTCGGGGTGGATTTCTTCCTCCAACAGCTTGGAGCATCCTCAGTTTTGTAACCACGGAAACTTATAGCACTGCTCCTTACAAGCCTATCAAGAGACATCGTTATGTGCTTTCCACCCAAACCATGTGACTGTTGGATGGAACAAAAGAACCACAAGCTGCCCATAAACTCCCAAACACCCGTGCTGAAAGCGCCGGGCCCGTCTGCTTCATCCACGGCACATACCGTCCACCGGACCCGCTGACTGCGAGCGCCTCCAAGAGCTCGATCTCCTCCAAGACCTGAGGAACAAGCGGGCGGATGACTTGCGACTGATCTTTGAGGGAATATGAGCGGTATCTATGTCGTGGGATATCCTCTATGTAGATCCCGACATATATGGCGGAATCTATGACTTGTGACGTAGTTACGCATCTATGACTGGCGACTGATCTATGTTAGGTCTTGCTTGAGACTGGGATGGATCTTTGTAAGAAAGGATGACTGTGATTGGCATCGACACCTTGAAACTTTTTCGACCTTTCTTTCTCACATGGGTGTACCACGATAAAACGAGTCGCCACGCTCATCGGTTTCATGGTTCTGATATGTTCTGACGGAATGGACCCTATGAAGCAAAACCAACTGAAATTCAGTGAGGGCACAGGGTCAAACTATTCAGCTGCTTGTTGGGTTGCTCACCAGGCGTACGTGGCTGTGAATTCCCCTATCCACATCTATCATCCTCTTCGCAGCTCCGCCATCCTTCTTGGCATCCGGACATAGCCCCGGGTCCAACAATCCTTCTTGGGAATGGTCTTCACCTCAGGGCGAAGTCTGGAAAAGGGCTTCGAAGCAAACGACGACCTGAAACATGGGCCTTCACCCCAGTCTGGTGGTGCAGCAACTTGATGAGCATGAGCATGCAAGTTCTGTGGGATTTGACAGCACCCTCGCATCCAATCAAATCTCTCCAAATGTACTGTGACCACCCTATGGAATGACCGCGAGGGCCTGCAACCACGCCAACTGCACATGAACAATCCCACTTTTTTGTACTAACAAAAGTGACACAATTTGACGCTGACCCACGACGAATACTGGAATGGGACAAACTGGCCAACAAACTACCAGGTCAACATGTCAATACGATGTTGGTACATCCACCCAAGTCATCAGGACTTCTGAACCATGAACTACCGCCCAGCCATCTGAACCGGGTCTTTCCCACGCATCGGCTCGCATGGCTTGCGCGGTGGGTGCACCTGCCAAGGACCCGGAAGGCACGGTCGAAAGCAAAGGGGCTTAACGGGCGTTTCAGAACCCTGATGACGTCGAAGTCGATCTGCAGATCTGCTATCAGTCTGATAAGGATTTCAACCATATGGCAGTCCTGGTTCTTGTTCTTTGAACCTTATTCTGAACTAATCTTACTACGATTAAGAAAGAGCAATGAAAGGTTTCGCTGCACACCAGGGGGACCTGGAAAGCCGCTCCTTTTTTCCGTCGACTGACAGTGGGAGAACAACGTGGTTGTGTATGGAAACCGTTTCCAGTGATTCCCACCAGTCTACGCTTGTTTCAGGAGGATCCCCCTCACACGGTTCCCGTGTCAATGATGTCCCTTTAGCAAGGACACTCTCACAGTTTCTCTGTCGGTATGTGTCTCCCAACCCCCTAGCACAATGAGCTGGCTGCCTATTCTGAGCCTGCAAATCCCTTTGAAGACTCCCAAACTGAACCATGCCATAGAATAAGGGCTTTTTTTTCAACAACACGGGCTTTTCACCAATCTTTGCTCCTTTCACCACTGGCTTGTCAGGGATCTTGCCAATCCGTGGCTCTTTCACTGCGAGGGCCACGTCACCCCCAAACTTGGGCAAACACGAAAGACACCTATCCTCTGTCCATCATCCGCTGGCCCTCCGCGCTTTTGCTCTCTTGCTCCTCTGGGCTCAAGTCAAGCAAGGCCACTGAGACCAAAGTCGGTCCATCTGGACGTGTGGCGTCTGGGAGGAGATACTTGCGCCCAATGATCTTGGCCGTAGAGCTTTGAACATCACCGGCCAAGAGCCAAAAGCCCTCAGTTGAGCTCCAAAGTTTTAGGCACATGAAAAGTACAAATATCTTCACTCTGGACACCGGATACATACATTTAAGGATTTCCACATCAAGATCTAACATGATCCAACTGGTACAAAGGAAGCAATATATTCTTCCCACAAGATTGAGCCTTGAATCTCTAGAAGGGGATTCGGAATTTGAAGCCCCAAAAAGGACATATCCAACCCATTCCGAGGCTCAGCGCTGGGATCTGCAAAGTGCTTCACGGCCAGGAAAGCCGTTGGGAAGTCGAACTCCAAAGCGCCTCGCCAGAGCTTCATTAACTCCTGGCCCGAACGAACCGAACATGTTGGATAAGTTAGGATGAAGAAGAATTCACCAAAGCACTAAGCACTTACCCTCTTTGGGCCAAAGACCATACAAAACCCTGCTGAAACCACCATTCCTATGGAAACCATGGAAGCTCAAGAAGCCCACGCCGGGCGGCAATGCCCTGCCCCCCAGCGACGGCCCCAAGGCCCCTCCCTCCTCCGAGGCCGTCGATCGCCAGGCCAGGCGCGTGGAGACGAAGACGGCGGAGCGGCCGCTGGCGGTGGACTGAAGCGCTGAGCCCTTCCAGGAGGAGATCTCCTGGAGCCATCGCCGTGTTCCTCAGGCTGGGATTCTTTCGTTTCAACACGGGTGGGATGGAGGTGGGAGATGGTGGGATGGACTCTCAAGTACCGAAAAAACAAGGTATATTGAGCCATGTTTTGGGGCACAAACGGGACTGTACTTGGCTTTTGGGTGCCCAACAAATCCCTTTCTTCGCTGGAGGTTCGGTTTGAGTCAGTGTCACAGGCCTGGTCTTCACCAACTAGAGCTTTTCACGAGACAACAACCCTTGTGAAGAGAGTTTAGACCACCAGCAGTGTCACCAAAAGTCTACCCAGTCCCTGCGTCGCCCTGCGTCGCCCTGCGTCGCCCTGCGTCGCCCTGCGTCGCCCTGCGTCCGAAAACGCCATCAAGGTTCCCTGCAGCACTTCTGCTGGCGGCTCTGGCGCCATCTCGTCGAGCGGCGCGCCGCGGCGGAACTCGTCGAGCTGCTCTTGGAGCGTCCACTGGAGCTCCGACACCTCACCGCTGGAGGTGAAGCGGCAGGACAGCACCTGAGGCGAAACCGGTGAACGGTGAACGTTCGTAGACGGCTCGGTGGGCGTTTTGGACATGTCTTCTGTGCCTTTCCTACCTTGAAATCTATGTTCATCGCGAGAAACCACAGAAACCTCTCAGAGTAGCTGTCGATCAACAACTCCCAATCCAGCCAGCTCACCAGCTCACCATCCAACCCTCCTTCTCACAGGCGAAGCACTTCTCTCCCACCCGGTCCATCCACCCCGCCTGTCGTTGGCTTCGCCTCTGCAGCGCGGTGACCACCTCTGTTGGCTCCTCCAGCGTCCAGGAACCGCAGTCGAAGAAGACGAAGCCGCGCCCGTCGCGGTCCAAGTGCCGGTCGCGATCGCGACAGCCCTGGACCACCCCGGCGCAGGCCGCGCAGTTCCGCGCGATGGGAGTGACCTTCGTGTCGTCCCGGGTCCAAGGGCAACGGAAGGACCTCGACTTGATCGTTGAGTGCAACGGGAAGAAAACGGCCCACCACCGTGGTCCGTGAAAAAAGGAGTTCAAACAGGGGGCGGCTGGGGGGTTCCTTACCTTGTGGTCGAGGGCCAGACGCTGGCGGCCAAATAAAAACCCACTTATCAGCCATGGTGTGATCCTCAAGAACTGAGAAAATTGCCACTTTGCCACTTCCACAGTCAAAGCTGATGTCTCAACTTCCTTCTCATCCTTCCGAATCCAACGGTTTATCATTCGTTACGGACCAATTTCAGTCCAATCAACAAGCCTCGTATGGTGCTCAAAAAACTCAACTGGGGTCATGCTCGATGACCTAAAATCATCCCAAGAAAAGAACCAGCAGCAATAGTAGCAATACCAAAAAACCAAAAAGACAGCTGTGCCCGATAGCCACAAAAACTAACTTCCTTAATTCTTCTCTCTTCCATGATTACCTAATTGCCACTGCCATCCTCTGCCCAAAATTCTTTCAACAACCATTCATTCGAAAAAGACCAAAAACATCACAGACACCTTCACACCCACAACCCTTTTTCCGACACTCTTTTAACGTCCCCGACCAGAGCCCCCTTTTGCTCCAAGACACCCATGACCAGACCCCTTTGCCAGCGAATCGGGAGACAACCACGGGGAGGACCAACCTCTCCATGTGCCCAGCAGATGGTCGCAGAACCGTTCGAAGTCGGGAGCCCTTCGACATCTCCGTGTCCGGGATCTCGAAACGGCACGTTGGCCTCGAAAAGACACGCAACGGCCGGGGCAACGGCCAGGTCTGCTGGGATTTACTCAGCTTTGAAAGAAACAGGCAGAATTCAGAACAAATGAGTGCTTAAGACTTTAAGAAGATAAACAAAGACGGCTGAGATCTGATACTTGTGGCAAGGATCAAACACATTGGGGCACGAAAAATGAAGAACAGCTAACAACACTTAAACTGTCAGACACCTCAAGGGGCCCAGTCACCGAGTGACGCCACCAGCGCAGTCTGCACCACGCGCGATCCGCACCACGCGCTGCGGGGCGCCCCGTCGCGGCGCCGGGTCGCGGCGCGGCCGGGCCGTTGAAGGCAGCTGGGGGCTCTGAGGGCGGACGTTGGACCGCTGAGCATGGCGCCAACAGTGGATGAGACAGGTGAGACAGCAAGGCGTTTTCCAGGTGAGGCAGCATGGTGGGTTGGTGTCGGTCCTTTTGTTTTGGAATGGTCCTTTGAACTCACAGTGACCCCTGGAAGATGGAATTTTGAAAACAGTGAGTTTCATGGTTCGTGTTGGTCTGCAAGAAGGTGAATCCCTTTCTGCGCTGGTTGCATTGATTCTTCGCGGGATGTAAAGCTGGCAAGGAGAAGTTTGTTTCCAACTCTTGCACGTGTCTGGTTGGGCATGTCTCTGTGAGAAAAATGCGAACACAAGTCAATAGGCACGCCAGCATACGGCATGTGTTCTTTTGTTTGGAGTGTCAGCGGCTTTTTTGAAGGTGCTTTTGCTTGCAATTCTTCATTCACTCTGAGGATGGACGTCTCTTAAGGCTCTGAACAAAGACCAGCTAAGGTGCCATTGAATCCAAATTTCCTTCCCTGCGTCATGTGGCTATTGAGCACACCAAGCTGAGGCAACGGACAACGCAAGAGACACAATAGTGTAATTTCGACTTGCTGGATTGCACCGACAGAACTATATTTGGTCTTCGGTCAAAGTGGACAAGGGAAGCTGGCCAAAATTAATCGGATGCTCTGATCTGACCTGACACAGGCCACTAAACACCTCAAGACAAGAGAGATTCCAGTGCTACCAGTCAAAATACTTAATGTGCAACCATCTGAATTGTTCTGCTAGAGGCTCCTTCCTTTAGGCTCTATTGTGTGACATGAGTGGCTACCCTGACTGTTCAACAAGCGTCACGAATGACAACTGTGGGGTGGGTATTCTCTCGCACAAGCGTTTGTGTCAGCGAACTGACTTGTTCCTTCCTGGAACTGGAAACACACCCATTTTCAAACAGGAAACTTCTCAGGTTCCATGTCTTGTTTCTTCAGTGCTTGTGCAGTTTGCAGTTGTAGGCTTACAGAATTGTTGTCTAGTGGGGCGAAGCTGACAAACCATGGTCTTTGGCTGAGGTTGCACTGGAAGTATACTTGCTATCACGATTGAGGGAGGACTCCGCCGAGAATAAACACTCTGTCCCGGCACCTACTACGGAACAAGAATCGTGAAGACCACTGGAGATAGGAGAAGCCATAGTGTGACCGTTTGGCATACTTCTTGTCGCTGCTCGACAACCTGGTACCATTGGTTTCTGGTCATCAAATCAAGCAGGAGCCTGTTTCGCATCAGCTCACCAAAGAGTTTTCTGTTCTTCCACCAAACCATTGCAATAGGTTGGGGATCTCTTCTATTCCCCGCAGCAGTGGATGATGATGGTTAAGTTGCAGGCCTTGTTCCAAAATAGTGATGTTGTTGTTTACCGACTGACTACAGGTTTACTTTGACAAACCCTAGCGACAGGTTCCTCGGAGTGCCAACAAGCCGTCTCTTCATTTTGTCGATCCGGAAACAAAGCACCGTCAATGTGGGCAAAGTCGGAGGCAACAAACAAACCAAAACCCCCGGTCTCTTGGAGGCCACTTTGGCCTTTTCCCGAAAAGGACATGCACCCGCCTGGGTCAGTCCTTCCGGTCCCACCGCTCGTCAGCGTCCCCAGGTGCCGGCCGGCCTGCGGACTTCCCCAAAGGCGCCGGCGCCCGCGTGGTCCCCGTCCTGAGACGGGTGTGAGATCTTCGGATGCTGTGTATGGTGAACGATCTCGCAGTGGTCGGAGAAGTCTGTTCAGATTCGGTGGGATCTTGTGGGAAGTATCCGAATCCGCCAGTTTACTGTAGACAATTAAAGAAACATACTAATTGATGATGTATATATTATATATATATTATTATATACACATGTATGAACTGCCTTCAATCGTAGGATAGGTCATCTGATGGGTTCCAGCATTCCGGTAGGGCATTCGTAATTAAGTGCTAATCTCTTTCTCAAGCTTTCACAGGTTACTGACCTCGTTTAATGTGAAACTCCGAAAGGATCTCTTTGGGAAAGCGTTGCACAAGAATCAGAAGTTGGTAGAGAAAGCAGGGTCAATTAGTGCCTTTTCTTTTGTTTCCCTGAAATACCTCATCGGCGGTCACCAGATCAAAGCTTCAAACATCGACGTCAAGGTCTTCGACCACATTTTGCCTGGTCGTCCGTGCTTGCGTGAATTGCTCATGGCTGTTTCGTCACCCACTTTGACAGTGGATTAGACATGGCAAAGGACTTCAAAAGCAGGCCGTTGCTGGTGAAAGGATGCTACCACGCTAAAGACAACATCGGTTAAAGCTGGCTCCAGCACTGTGCTGCCTTCCCGAAACCAACTCGAATTCTACCTGAGCTTTCAGGCAACTGCCCTGCTCGAAACCTAAGACTTTGCAAGTGCAAGCTCACCTAGCCCACATCTGCCGCACTCCACTCTTCCCAAGGTCTTCCATAGCCAGTGACGATGAGATATGTTGACCCCTTCTCCTGTTCCAGCTTTGTGGCCACTGCAGAGGAGAGCCGACACAACGCAAAGCGGGCAGTTCCCTCTGAGAGGCCTTCGAGGTCGATCTTTGAAGTTTCACAGCCTTGCAAGTATCAAATCTCTGCAAAGCTGCATTGCAGAAACAACCCTTTTCGCAAGCACTGATGGCCGCGTTGTAGCTGATGTCGTCTGGCTCCACTTCGGTCTCGAGCATGGCCTCTAACAACTTCAATGCTTGCTGCCATTGCCCGCCCTTCGCGCAAGCACTGATGGCAGCGTTGTATGTGACGATCGTGGGGTCTACTTTTGCCTTGGGCATCGCATCAAACAACTTCAATGCTTGCTGCCATTGCCCGCCCTTCTCACAGGCACTGATGGCCGCGTTGTAGCTGATA